TAGAAAGTGCTACAGTACCAGATTGCCTGAAGTGTGCGTCTCTTCAGCCTCGTCTCAAAAAACCATCTTTGGACCCACGCGAGTATAATAACTTTCGCCCAGTTTCTAACCTCAAACTTGTCAGTAAAGCAATTGAAAAGGTGGTTGCAATTCAAACTAATCGACATGTATTGGACAATGACTTGGATGATCTTTATCAATCTGCCTATTAAGCACACCACAGTACAGAGACAGCATTGATTAAAGTGCATAATGATATCCTTAAAGCTCTTGATAGTCAGAAATGTGTTATTCTTCTGCTATTAGATCTGTCAGCTGCATTCGACACCGTAGATCACCACATCTTGCTGGAACGTCTAAAAACAAGGTTTGGCATCGCTGGAAAAGCGCTCAACTGCATGGTTTAAATCTTACCTCTCTGATAGAACATTGACAATCAACGTCCCCAATGGTGAATCAACAGTACGACCTCTTCCCTTTGGGGTCCCACAAGGGAGTGTACTTGGACCTGTACTATTTTTTATGTACATTTCGCCTCTAGGAGACCTCTTTAGGCGTCATGATTTGGAGTATCATCTCTATGCTGATGACAGTCAACTGTACATCACCTTTAAAGTCAACTGTGCAGAAGAAATGAATGTGGCAAGATCTAGGATAGAGACGTGTGTACGTGATGTCGATGCATGGATGACTTGGAACAACCTCAAGTTTAATACAGACAAAACAGAATTGTTACTATTGAATGCACGCCATCGTCCTCAACCACCTCTGAAATCGCTGTCAGTATGTGGTGATGTAATAAACACAGCAGCTGAAGTTCGTAACATTGGAGCACTGATGGATTCAACTTTGTGTATGGACCAACATGTCACGAACATTTGCAAAACATGCTTCTATCACTTAAGGAACATTAGTAGAATAAGAAAATATCTTACTCGCAAGTCTGCAGAAACATTAGTCCATGCACTTATTACATCTAGGTTAGATTTTTTGCAATTCTCTCTTATTTGGACTACCAGACTATGCTATCGAACGTTTACAGAAGGTTCAGAATTCAGCTGCTCGTATAGGAACCCTTACTCGCAAGTATGAACATATAAGACCTATCTTATGCGATTTACATTGGCTACCAGTCGAACAGAGGATTAAATATAAGATATTACTATTAACATATAAAGCCCTTAATGGACAGGCTCCAGGATATATATCTGATCTAGTTAATATCTATAAACCTAGACGTACTCTTAGATCGTCATCAAGTAATAATTTAGTCATGTTTAGTTATAATTTACGATCTTATGGATATAGAGCATTTTATTATGCTGCCCCTTATTTATGGAATTATTTGCCTCATGATATCAAGACTGCTGGCTCAGTTTCCAGTTTTAAGTCCTTAATTAAGACTTACCTTTTTAAGGAAGCATTTGCTTAAGTATAATTATATTTCTTAAATTGATAGAGAGACAATTTCTTAAATGACTCATCAACAGAATTCCAGATTT